GGTGTAGATAAGGTTGCTCCAACACAGCCGCTGGTCTATGATCCATAAGGTTTCTTTTATGGTAAGCCCTTGCGCGCTGTGGACTGTCATGCAGTAACCTAAGCGCCAGTCCGGATGGGAGGTTATTTTYTCCACCTTTTCTATGGGCACCCAGGCTTTATCGTGCGTTACTGCGTTTTGCAGTTGGATGTCCGTGCCAGGTACGCAGACGTCTCTTCTTTGCATGCGGGTGTCGTGAGGTTTGTAGGAGACGGGTACAGGGTGCTTGGGGAATCTTTCCCAGTGTATTTTAAGTAAGTCTTTTTGTATCCGGGATTGTGCTGCGCGTTTCCTGCTTAACACTAAGTCCTTTGGATGCCACTGGTAAAGAAAGTCCTCGTACTTCTTCGCTCGTACGCGTTTGCGCAGCGTTTTGCATTGCTCGGCGTCACTAAGGCCTGTTAGTTCTGCTTTTAAGGATTTAACTTGGTCCTTGCTGCGGTAGTCCGCGTTAATTTCTTCTACGTTGTCTGCTAATTCTTTTAACCATTCGTGGGGCATTTCCGGCGAATATTACCTGGCATTTCCCTTTTAGGAACTCTACGAATTCTTTAAGGATTTCTAAAGGAACGGTGCAAATCTCGTCCCAAAGTATCACTGGGGGAATGTCGTGAATAGCTTCCGGTACCCACTTTTGACCAATCCAGCGAAAGAAGCTGTGGTAAGTTTGCACGTCGTAGTTCTCTTTCTAAGCGGTGCGTTGGCGTTAACACTTTTAGGCTTGGGAAAAGATTAACTACGCGCGTTGTCTTGCCGCTGCCGCCCGTACCGTAGAGGTAAGAGAAGCGTTTGTAAGAGAAAGGGTCCGCAACCGAGGGAAGTGTTTCCTTTGTTGGTTCTGCGCGGCCTTGGGTATGTTCTCCGTGATATTCTACCCTTTTCTCTCCAAGCTTTGATCTCTTCGTCTTTGACGCGCCATTGCCCGCTTTCTGCTATCTCTTCTTCGGTGTAGAATTCCCTTATCTTTTCCAGCTTGTGTGGTTTGATGTACAAGGAATCCGTAGCTACGCGCGGAACGTCCTCTTTGTCGAATCTCAGAAGCATGGTTAAGAGGCTGATATGCGCGTAGGCGAGCATGCTGGCGCGCAGGTGGTAATACTGCGGACGATGGTCTTGATAGTAACAAAGCGTATTCCATTTATGCTCTCCTTTGCCTTCTTCGAAGTAATCCCATTTCTCCGTGGATACTATGGTGCCTTGCTCATGTGCGCGGCTTATAAGGAAGCTTAATTCTCCTTCGTCTGTTATTAGGCGGCGCTGCATGTGCTTTTCGCCTTCTTCGGCGCCTTGGATGAACTTTCCTATCACTATTCTTGCGGTTGGGTTGTGTTCTGGTAACCATTTCGTAAAGGCGCTGTGACAGAGTATGGCTTCGTGGTCCGTGTATGTAAGGAGTTCGCGTTCTTCAAAGAACTTTAGCAAGGGTACGGGTATCCATTCCTTTTCCTGCAAATGCTTACCATACCAAGCGCAGATTATTGGATGCAGGCCTTCTTTTAGCCTCCATGAAGTGAGCCTTACGAATCCCGTAGCTGGCGCGTCGTATTTACCATCCAAAGCTACGCGGAAGAACTGCAAGTCTGGATGTCCGTAGCGGTCGTAGTATTCCTTGCAGTCACCAAGGCCTTTGGAGCTTGCAGGGTGGCAGTGTTTCATGTCTAAGGAGACGTATTCTTCTTCGTTGTACTCCATTATCCACAGGCCGCCATGACCGTGTTCTACGCAGGCCTTGGCTAAGTCTTTAAACTCTTTTGGAGTGGGTTTCCAACCGTTTCCCTTCCTCGCGGCTAGGAAGTCTAAGCTGCGGCTGCTTAGGACGTCTTCAGAAAAGTCTTCGCCTAATGTTTCACAGGCACTTAGTATCCTTTGCTGTTCTATTTTTGGTCTGTACAGCACTCCGTCTTGCGTCATAAACTGACTGCCTTCGGGGTCCATTAACCAAATGGAGTTCTCATGTACTAACTTCATCAGGGGGCAGTTGTCGTAAACTTTAACTTCTTTCTTCTTAGGGAATCTTAATTCCCTCCATGCGTGTCCGTTGTGCTGGTAAATGACGATAGGAGCACCCCTACCTCCATATTTATGGGTTCCGGGGTAAATGTAACCATCCGTGATATCTTTTACTACAATGCGTCTTTCTATGGCGACTTCCAACTTCTTAACGTTGTCTATGGTTGCTCCGGCCCTATGAGTAGCATGCTCCCACTTCTTTATGGCTTCTTTTCTCTTTGGCGTAAGCTTACCGTCGCGGGAGGAATCTTCGAAGAATTCTCTTACCAACTTTCCTACGCAGTTGCCGGGATGTCGCATTGGCTTAAGCTTCTTAACATCTGGTTCTTTAATTTCGTATGCGCCATAGATTAATACTGTAACAGGGTAAGCAACTTCGAAGAACAACATGTCGATGCCTACCAGCGCTCCAGGCCTGGTATTCTTGTTTAGGACGAAAAGCCCCTGCTTGCCCGATGCCCGGATAGGGTTGCGGCCCTTTTCTATTATCCATTCGYCGTCGTAGTACTTTATAAACGTCAATTGTAAGCGGTAATTACCTTCAGGCATCAGGTCTATTATCTTTTCGTCTTTTTCTTCGTCCATGATTTCTTCTACATTTCTTTCTGTAAACGTCGTGAAGGCAAAGTCGGCGTCCAGCCTATCTAACACTTGAGTCCGCAGTTTGCGTACAGTTTTGTTTCGAATGCTTGTGATGGCGTCCATCTATATCTAGGAAATATTTTAACCTTCGTTTGCGACACTACAGAATTCTTTACATTCGTGCATAGTATATAGAACGAATATTTTAACTTAGTAATGCGGGGCACCTTACGGGTAATACCCGCGGGAGCCGCCTGTACGTGAGGGCGGGTAGTACCCGTGTAATTCCGGGGGGTGACCGCGAGTCCCCCTTACTGCTGCTCACGGAAGCGGATGGACACCAAAATGTGATATAAAAAAAACATGCGAAATTACACCATTAAATATATTCAGGACTATAAATGCGAACAACTTCATACATTCAGTCTAAATCACTTGAAAGGGATAGCTTTATTCATCGAGAGGATTTACGAGAATTTTTTCAGGCGAAAGTCTGTGAGAAAGAGAGAAATCGCAGCGGGCGGGGAATGGTATATATTGGGGTAAGTCGAAGCACCCACCCACCCACTTTTCCATTCTTTTCCACCCACCATTCTTGAATCTTAAATCTTACCTTTTTTACGGAGTTCTCGATAATCAAGCACAAGATCAATAGGATCCTTGCGAAAATCTGAAAGAAAATGATATATAGAGGATATCAGTCGGCTAAACATCTGATACGGCTGTGTATTTGTATGAGACACGGAGTATTTGGCGAGCCTAAAATACAAGTGACAAGTAAAAATGCACTGTCGTATCAGATGATTAGCCTACTGATAAGTTGTTTATCATTTAATTCTGCTAAGAAATGTTCAAACTCCCTCTAAACTCTATCGTACCCGATCGCGAGCAAATGAGAAGTGTTGATACGGTCTCATATCAGACTAGAATAGAATAGAAACTTTATTTTCAAAAAACAAACGTCAGGTATGGTCTTTTCCCGTACCACTACTACGGATTTCATCGAAGTATGGCACGCATTAAAAAATTCGTCTGCAAATTTGCCTATGAGACGCTGTGAGTCCGCCCACTTGAAGGTGTGATTTTGTCTGCATTCCTTTCTCGCGAAATGCACAATGAACATAAGCGAACTTGTTTGTGTTTACAGTAGGGGAAGAGCATAAGTAGTGATTTGAGATCTCTCGTTATATATGAGATTGTTGAAAGTGGTGGGGATATTATAACAGGATTTTCTCCTGGAAAGTTTGTAGAAATTGCTCGAAAACATCCCCCGCCTCCATACTCAACTTTGAACTCGTACTTTCTACTCGCCGCCATTATCAAATTCTTCTATTATTTGTCTTGATAATTTTGATACAGAATAAAGTATGCTTAAAGACTTACCCTTGTATCCGAAAAATTCTAGACCCATGCATGGTGTCCAGAAGTATTCCTTTACAACAAACTTAATGGTTTGTACTGTGCGATCGTTTATCCCAACATGAAAGTATTGATACCCTTTAGTCGTTTTGCTATAGTCCTATGGGAGAAGAAATTTGGTAAGCAATATGTTAGAGAAATGATGGTGGAATTCTTAAAGCTAGAAGAGATCATTAACATTTAAAAGAAGCGATGAAGCGGACATAAAAAGGTTTAAGGTTGTCGTCGTCGGTGTTCTCGTTCTCCCGAAGGACGCCAAAAAGCGTCAACTAACGCTCTAGACACAACGAAGCTTGTCAAAGCTTAAGGTCACTAGTGTTTGAAAAACGCTGTGCCCTGTTAACTCGCCACTCTAACGATTCTCAGCGGCTAACGCCCACTTTTGAAGTAACAGCTGCTTTTCTCGTAGTTCATGGGCCAACACCAAAATGTATTTGGTTTGACTTTTAAAATGTGTGTTTTTCATTATACAAGCGCATGTTAATCAATCCATATCTGGCAGAAGTTAACCAAATTTTAGTAGTCGGACAATAATTACACCTCAATGTTATCAGTGTTTCATCGACGTACATGGAACATTTTAGCAAATCCATTCAAATCATTTTTAGCCAATTCATGAAACATCAAGTAAACTCAAACTGCAGGTATTGCATTCTCTGGCGTTCTTGTGTTTGGCACATCAATGCATGATATAAAAAGAATACGACTTCCCTAGTCACTCTAGTTACTCTTTCGCTTTTGCTGCATAATTACTAACATTATCAATCATTCTGAACGAGTTAGAAAAATAAGATATTAAAAGGTAGACAATTTGCTTTGGTAATGGTGACTCATATACTCGTAATAATTAGAAATAGGATTTGTGATTACTTACACTGTAATATGTTCCATCGACGTACATGGAAAATTTTGTAACATGTTGACCCAAAGAAGCTGACGTAGCAGCAAATCCACAAAAAATGAAACGCGAGGGAAAATGAAACTGCAGCCATTCTCCAGCGTTGTTTGTTTTGGCACACCAACATTCAGTCTCAAATAGACGTGCTGTTCTTGTATTATATGCATGACTGGCATAACTGCTTGAAGCTGTTATGAAACTTGAATCCAAAAGCGGATATACATCGTCGTAATGTATTCCCAGAGCCGSTGCCATTATAACTTTATCACAACCTATGGAAAGGAGTAAAAATATTTGGAAGTTTGATGAAGTGATAAATAAAGTATAGATATTTTGCAGCCAAAGATACCTTGTTAGATTTATTTATAATTTTACGCAATTTCATTCGAGATGTGATGATAACCGTCACTAAAAGTGATGTATACTTAACGAATCCTTTTTAGTCGATAGTGGCTCGCTCTGGTGCCCACCCGCGATACCGTCAGTTTATAATGATTACATGCATCACGGAATCTAACTAGTAAAAATAGCCACATAAAAACGAGGGTCACAGACTCAGTTTAGCCGGCGGGCATATCACTTGCGAGTGACAGATAAAATGATGATATAATAATATAAATTTTTTAAAAAATCTTAATTGATTTTTTTAAATAAATAAAATTTTTAAAACTCATTAATAATTCATGAAGGAAAYACAATAGAAATCATGACCACGAAGGAGGTTTTATATCTGATATAGATTCGTCTTCATTTGCATAAACTTTAACTTGGATTTTCTCGATCCAACTTGGTTCATTTCGTAAAGAATTCGGTACAATATGAGAACATACATCAGGAGTTTTTTAAGCCGTTTAATAAACTCGCAGATCGTGTTTTATCGGGTCTAAAACCACTCGGTTACGCCTCGTGTTTTATACCCGATAAAACRCTCCTGCTCGTTTATTAAACAGTACATAGATATTTTGCAGCAAAAGATATCTCGTTAGATTTATTTATAATTTATGTAATTTTATTCCGAGGTGTGGTGATAACGTATTTATAAGTTGAAGCCAAGATTTTGGATTGTCATGAGGCTAAGCGATGATTTAGACGATTTGGCCTGAAAAGTTTCCAGAAAACCTTGGGGTTGCTATGTAACGATTCAACAAAATCCAGTATTTACTCATTATTTCAAAACAAAGGGGATATTGAATAAAACTTTTGTAATTTTGTAATAAAAAGGGACATTTGTCAATAGCAATCGTATTTCAATCTCTCTTGAACCTTGAGTTAGTTTGACATGATAATAGATTGTCTGCATGAAGAAAGAGTGACCCACATAATGCGTTTAGCATGTAAAGTTAACATGATGTAAAGGATTATCATACCTAGTTTACTCATATTTTTATCCCGCTTTTGATTGCCGAGAGCATTCAACCAATCCCTAGTCGTGTGAACTTAAATATTGAAAGTACGGTTGCTCAGTATTTTTTGGGGAAAAAATGGAATCTTTAATCTCCGTTTACAATAGAACGAATCATTAAAGAATTCGTTTTTTTCATGTTAAAGTAAATTTCAAGCCGAGACATCAGCTGTTTTATTTTCATCAGCCTACGTAAWGGAAAATAACACAGCTAGTTATATTAGTCTGGATAATTTAAGGTAATTCCCTTGAAAGAAATTTTTCCAATAACTTTGTCCTGAAACTTTGCATGGACATTAGTTATGTTATGGACATTGAAAAACTACAATAAAAAAATTGGGTAACCATTTTCTTTTTTCGCTGGATGCTCCCCAAATATGTTAATTTATGGGCTTTATAGCGAAATGCGGTGAAAACCGGAAGCTGTAATCAAGAACCTTTATTCGCAGTTAAAAATACTTTAATAGAACAAAACGTACTTATAACTCGAAGTTTACTAGATACTCTATACTATTAAATCCATCAAAGTCATTGGATGACTATGATTCTTGAASTATTAGTGAAAAATGCAGGTATGTGTGCCTATACGAACGTTCAAAAATATCAAAAATCTTAAATAAAACAGGGGGGTCACCATTCTCGATTTTGACCTATCTTGAAAAAACATCTCAAAATAGTCGGAAACGGACACTTTTCTGAGTGGAGAAAAGCTAGCTAGATAATCGCAAATTCTCTACTCAAAAATGAGAAAAAAGTGAAAATTGGTTAGTTTCCGAAAAAAAAAAGGGAAACTTTGTTAGTTCTATGCTTTTAGTTGCATGCGCAGAAAAAATGCGCAGTGCAGAACAAGGGGATTACCTTAAGATATCATACTCAACTTCTTCCAAAAATAGCTTATTGACTGAAGGCTCTCGACCAATCAGAAACGAGATAGTGATTCAAATGTATAAAATTTGACGTCCAGTCTGATATCAATGATAGCTAATGTCAAATTTGCTTACTTGGTTGGCTGACTGAAACTTGTGTTGAATTTATATTTTTGATAGTCGTAGCTGCGTATACCAGCCTGTTGTTTCCACTAATTGCCAATGGTGCTAGCACTTTAGATCCTACGGAGAGTTTCTCCAAGATTGGTGGTTTGTTGATGATTAAGTTGGCTTCGTCGATTCGTACAGTGGAAGAGGAACCTTCCTCCATAACGTTAACTTTACCATCACTAGTTACGCCAGACGTACTTGCCAATTTGAATACCCGAAAATAAGTATAATCTTTCCAAACCAAAGCATCGTATTTCGAATGAACTTCTATATTAGAAAGAAATGATAAGCAAATTATCTTTTAGCATAAGTTAGAACGTAAAATTATTACTTTATTTTTCTGATGTTTCAAGGTTCAACGAATTGATTTTTGAAGATTTTTCTATCTTGAAAGTTAGCTCCAATTGTTTTGCCAGTCTACGAAAGTTAAATCTGAAGCGAGCTTGCTGGCATTAGTTCCATTATATGAGTAAGCTAAAACTTTATCTTCTTGCTGATATCGGTAACGTCAGTTGACCAGCAAAAAATGTTTCAGAATTAGAGAGAAGGAATCGAAAGAAAAAAAATAAAATTCTCCATTGGTAGATGAATAAAAGAATGACTTTTTTGGTAAGTTTGTAAAAATAAGGTTTTTTAAAAGTTTAAGTGCTATGTTTAAAAACGATGGAAGCGTGGTCATATATTTCTGCTGTTTGCGGAAAGAAAAAACGAAACTTGCCTAGCGCCTTGGTTTGTAGGGGTAGGGTCACGTTACCTATCACGGCAAATAAAATATATGGCGTGTTACCAATACAAAGATACTTGCCTGAGCATGTAATTCCCTGGCCAGTGTTGAATATGACGTCTCCAGTTGTACTTTGGAGGCCAGGTTGGCATTTGCATTGATACTTGCCAAACAACCTCGGGTTGGTGCATTCAGTTGTTGGGAGGCAGTCGTTTTCCATACCAGCACATTGATTTCCTTAAAGAAAACATATTATATAACATACCTCATGCCTTGTTTTGAGAGCACGAGAGAGTGGTAGAGGAATCAATTGCAAGGGTGAGGTAGCGATAGTGCACACGCCTCTCGACTCCCGGTCTCGATTCCTCTCGCGACTTCACATATGAATAGAGTTTGTTAGATATTTCCATTGATTGGAGATTTTTCTCTGGATTCGGCGATTTTCATCCCTCCGCAAAACGTAATTAATCATGATTTGACATGGTCAGCCCAGAATTTATTTCAAGGTATCGGTAAGATTGCAGAATTTGTCAATTTTATAGTCAGTYATAGTTATTAATCTTTTGCCAGTAGTAAAACTAAAACATCAGGGCCCGGTTGTACGAAGCCTGGATAACGCTATCCGGCGGATGAATCCTTATCCAGTGGATAAGTCGATGCTGTTATCCAATAAATGTATCCACTGGATAAGATTTATCCATCGGATAGCGCTATCCAGGCTTCGTACAACCGGGTCCAGATAATAACTTCACTTCTCTCTTTTTTTAAATCAGCTATACTATACATAAAACACTGGGTTTGAACATATTCATAAGCCTGAGACTTTAAGCAATAGATTCTTCTAAGGAGTTGTTTAGAGTTTTACGGATGGACGTAGGTTTTCCTTGTTAATGAAGCCGTCAAAAAATCTTCAGATGTACAAAGAATGCCTTATGGGCTACCGAAGACAAAGAAACAAGTTTTGTTAATGACTGCGACCATTTAAGTGACATGGCTACAAAGGCCATTAAAGGCCCTGGTTTACCTGCATAACTGACCACTTATTTCACGACTGACCACTCCAGCCCACTCCAAGAAGCTACTAACTCCAAATAAGTCCTAAACCTTTATCGATCGATTTCATCAGTCCTTTCACTATTTACCCTGTGGGTCAGCATGCTCGTTCCATCCATAGTTAATAGTGTGGACTGGTTAGGAAACCCTTTTATCATAGGTCTTTGTTTCCTTTTTTCAAGCGTGACCGTGCACAATTCTTTGTTTTACCATCGTTGGCAATGGCTGAGTGAACAGACAAAAATCTTTCTTTTGGCTGCTAGTTCAAAATACTTAAAGATTTATAAGAGATATTTAAATATTCCTTACAACAATCCCATAGACAAGTTTATGTTTACTTATTTTGCAATTTCGGAATAGCATAAATCAAACATTGTGCAGGACCAAGAGCAGCTCAACATCAAAAGCGAACAGACCCATAACAATAGGTTTCCTAACAATTCCTTACTGTAAGCCTTTTCATAGTTTAAGAATCGATTCCACTGCGCATGCGATTTTATCCCGAATTTCTCACCTTCTTTTGTCTAAACCTTCTTTTGTTCTTAATTAAACAAAAGAAGGTGAGAAATTCGGGATAAAATCGCATGCGCAGTGGAATCGATTCTTAAACTATGAAAAGGCTCATTAACTATGTTCCATCCTAACCGGTCATCAACAATCAGACCTAAGCATTTTTTCGTTATATACCCTTTTGAGCGGATTATTATCAAGGGTGATATCAGGTTCTCCTTCAAGGTTTTGAATACTATGATTTGATCCAATAATCATGCATTCTGATTTAGATTGTTTTATGTTGAGTCGATTTGCCCTGTCTACCCTTTTACAACGATCAGTTATGTCAAAATAAACCACAAAAATGTAAATAACACCGATAGTTTCATTATTATAGTTTTATAGGATTATTATTATTATTAGTAGTAGTAGTAGTAGTAGTAGTAGTAGTAGCAGCAGGTGCAAAGTTTCAGTTCATAATAGTGACCATATAAGAGAAATGGCATTATTAATAGTAATTGAACTTAATAAACTCAACAAGTTATCAAAAAAATTGTGCAACCGCATAGTGAGAGTTTAATTTATTAATCATAAGTTTAATTTCAGACGAAAATTGTAGCGAACCAAGTACAATTACCAGTTAACTACATCAAGTTTGAACTATTCTGTATTGACACTGAATTTAAAGTTTAATCTTAATTTAAAATTTAGTCAAAAAAATGTCTTTCGCCTACAAAATCAAATCGCACTTCTGAGAGCTATTGAGATTGCATAAAACAGCAGTGATTTCGAAATGGATATAACTGAATTATAAAACCGCACATTTTATGAAGTTTGGTATGAAGAAAGTGATGGTTACTAGCGCATTTTCCCATACGAATCGTTATAAAACATTCATTTTATATACTTTCTCTGTTCCGCTTGATATTAGTTGAAACACCTCCTCCCTAATGCCGATATACTCTATTCATTTCTGTTGCTCATTTTGACAACAGCTGCTAAATTTCATGGGACAGGGTCAAATGGCCTACTAGTACAAGTCGTCCATTCTTGCAACAAATTTGCAATAACATTGCTGGCTGATTACGTTACAAAGTTTTTAAAAGTATTTCGTGCTCTACCGCAATTAGGAAACTCCTCAAAAGCTGATTAGGTGATAACCATATTCGGTAGCAGGACTCTCCAAATTCATGCGTAGAAGGGGTGCGCACAAACAATGCCCATGAGCGTCCATAAGGACGTTCATGGGCAAAAGTCCCCATCGTCAGACTTGAAGAAACTACATCATACTAGAAGTAAAATAAGCAAATAAAAAATATGACTCACCAACTTCGTTTAGCTGTCAGAATGCGGGGAAGTTCACCTTTTTACGATAAAAACGCGCGAACAATGTATACATGGAAAGCTGTCAAAAATAAGCCATATTTTACTGGAAAAAAAATAAATTGCTCGTCCTTATTTCCCCCTGAACTCTAGGAAATAAAAAATGATTAGTTGGCTTTAAAAATTTTGTGTTGAAAAGTTAGAAATATAAATTGTTATTGTCATCACGAGGACGTCATCACTAAATTCATGAATTGAACAGGTGCGTAGAAAGGATGCGCGCGAACAATGCCCATCGGTGTCCTTAATCAATAGTCAAGCAAACATACATACATATTGTTAAAAAATACCTAAAAAAACTCAACCAAACCACCCTTTAGTTTAGCTTTTTTTGGTGTATTCCTTAATGTCTTATGATATGAAAATTCTTTATTTACTTTTATACACTAGTTTGGGTTCTAGCTGTTTAATCATTGAATTTGTACTCGAATACTTTCCACCTGCATCAATATTAAGCCTAGGAATGTTTTACTCGATTGTCCTATCGTATCTTATTGATTATGTCAGAGATATCACGGCAGACAACTGTCATAGAATCAATATAAATATACCTAGCTCAATTCAATGCAATCAGAAGAGCCAAATAGAGAAGAACAACAACAATAAAAGATCCCAAAGACTCAACTGACCGAGAACGGTCCACCCTTTAACATTCTTCCAAAAACCGAAGCAAAAAGACCGCATAAGAAAATACGAGCAACAAAATCGCGCACCTCGAATCGCAACATTGATGCTTTGCAAGCTGCTGCAAARCCAGGCAAACCAATCCGTGCTTTTTTTGAAAAAATAGTTAAGAGTTACGCGCAAAATTTGAGAGTTTTGCCTCTCCAAGTATTGTGGTTCGAAGTATGGTTCCTCAATGAAATTTTGAAGGTTCATTATTCGGTTTTGGTGCCCGTGCACATCCTGGGCGTTCAAATCGAAGGTTGAAAAGTAAACATTCACCTTAAATTGCCAATAACATCGCCCCTCACTGACACACCTTCATTAACAAATTACCTTTTATACGGAGCGTTTTGTAGTCCAGCACAAAGTTGTTTAAATCGATAGTCAAATCTGTTACCAATAATGATTTTTAGCAAAAATTAACCACAAATAACCAAACATACCTGAAAACCATACACAACCAAGTGCGTTATCAATTTTATATATTATCTTATAAATACACTCGACAAAATTACCTGATTCTGATTAGACAAGAGACGTACTCAAGTTGTACCCTGTAGATTCCCAATTAAGTTGCTCAATTTTGTTGAGTGTATTATACACAAAAAAATCGCACAATCTTCTTGTACAATTCGGAAATTATAGATACTTGTGATGTTTCGAAAGTTCTCAAAATGGAACATTTTGAAAACTTTAAAAACAATACTCGTACCTCTAAATTCCGAATTGTACTCGAGATCCGCTTTGGATTTCCTATACAAATAATACATAGAAACATATTATCGAACTGCTTACCTCTATATCCAAAAAGCTCAACACATATGCACATGTGCCATTCATATTCCCCTTTAGTGACAAACCTCACCGTTCGTATCGTTCTATCATTTATGCCAACATGATGATATTGGCTATCTTGGCTCAACTGA